GATAAATTAAAAGGAGGGAAGGACAGCAAACTCTAAGTGTGGGATTAGAGTTACAAACTACAAGTATTTGAAACCTTTTCTCACCTATATTTAACTACTAAGTAGGGAAAAGATGGTCAAAGGCACAAAAGAGAACAAAATCTCTACAGAGAAACTTTGATTTCTGACCACTGGAAGCAAAGCAAAGCTGCACAGTAACTCTAAGTGTTTCTATCGTCATCTGAGTTAGACAGGGTTAGTATAAGTCAAGGGAAAGTTATTTCCATTCCTCATGTTGGCAAGTCCATTTAGAACAGTAGCAAAAGCTGGAGGAAGCAGAGGAGGCAGAAACTCTCACTCCCTGCTGGTGAGAAAGTTACTTGGTGCAGTCAAGTGGAATCCCCTCCAGGTTTATGGCACATACATCCGTGTGCGTGGTCCATACATCAATGGCAGACTACAGGCTCTTCCTTATTTTCTCGCTTCCATCTGTAGTCATAGGCTCCTCTGGGTCCAATTGTGTTTTCTGCAACAATTAGAAGGAAGTCCCTGCTTCCTCACTTAGTTCATAAGATAGTATTAGGCATGAAATGTGTTTGGGCAGCCAAACTCACCCTCTCATGCTTCTGCCAACACTGGAAGAAGATATCTGAGTCCCAGGAGTGATACATGTAGAGAAGGTCATAGCCTAGAGGAACGAGGCCCAGTGTGAATGTTCATGTAAGCAGAACCACCTGGCTAAGGGCAGCCTGCCCAAGCCAACAAAGTCAGTTGGCAGACATGAGAAAGAAGATGTTGCTGTCATACACACCAGGATCCTATGGTTATTTCTTATACAATAATAACCAATGTGATTCTGATGGCTCCTTAAATATATCTCTGTGCCTGATTTTTTTCCAAACTCCAACAACCCACTCAGTATTTCTAAGACTTCAAATTTGTCATGTGTGACACTGAGTTCCATTATTACTCCTCATTGTCTTTCTGGCTCATAGTAACTGAATTCCTCCCAGCTACTTGACACAGAAGAAAGCTGGAGTTCACTTTATTTTTTCTTTTACTTCCCACTCTTATCTTTCAGTAAGTCCTTTTTTCAAGATTTGAGTAATTTTTATCCTTTCGGATGCAGTATCTGTACCTAACTGGTATTATTTCTTCCCACGGCACTGTACAACTTCTCTACTGGAGCCGCTACCTACGTTCTTAGGCCGATGACTTAGTCATTACGAAGCACATGGAGCGGTAAATGCAAACATGCCGTGTCTCTCCCTCCCACTCAGTGCCATTCCACCTGACTAGAGTGAGGCCACATGCTCATGGGGACCCAGAGGCCCGGTCTCTCAACTTATCCATCACTTATTTCTCTCCCCTGAGCTGCCCATCCCCAGTCTGTTCCAGGGACAATGGACATTCATTCTGTGTTGAGCCACCTTAAATGTGTAAGTCACTATGGCTTTCAGACTTTTCACCACAGGGGGTTAATTTCCTTAGGTTTTACCCAAATATCCTCATCTTAAAATGGAAAGCACAGATCTCTCTAGCTGCAACAGCCAGAACTGCAACCCATGTCTCTGCCCTTCCTCCTACCACTTTCCACTCGTGTCTTTTGCTTGGATTTCCTTGGTCCCTGGGTACTTTACCTCTCTCCTTTTCTGTTCCTTCACATGAAAGAACTTTCCCTGAAACAAATGCTTGGGGTTTTTTCACAGATGTATCACGAGGACCCCAGAGTGGTGGCTAGCATCTTACAAGCCCTCAAAACAAGCAGAGAGAATGAATGGCAACACCTATGGGAAAATATTTAAAATGTGAATTTCTTTTGATAAAAGAATTCCCTTTTCAAAAATCTACTGAAAAAATTGTGAAATGATATACACACATCTGTCTATACACAGATTTATCCTAGGTGTGTTTATGAAAAGCAAATGAAGTAAAAAATGACATAAGTAAGTATCATGTAGACTAGTACTTAATCTGGTAGTATAGAAAAGTTCACAGAGATATAAATCATATTGCAAAGCAATAATAATAAGATCCTAATTTTTGTCAAACCACTAGGTAATTCCTGAAAAATTGATAATATGCAGATGAACAGCAAAGTTCAAACAATAATTATATCTTGGAACATATGAGAATAAAACAATATAGTAAGTGCTTTTGGTTTTGTTTCTTCTTGGGTTTAAGGGACGTTTCAAATTTTTTCTTAGTAAAAAACAATTGCCTAAGTCAGTAAAAAGTTGCAATGTCTGTATTATGCACCCATTTCAAGGAAGCGAGAAAAGTCTGTGGTCGTAAACCACAGCTTTTAAAAAGCAAGGTGAAAGCTTGGGCCACAGGCCAGTCATCCACAACATTGTCCCTGTCAGCGAGTCCTAAGTGGGACTTCATAAACGTGACAAACATGATGTAGACGCTTCAGGCTAAGGTGGCACAGGGACACCTCACATCTGTGGTGACTTCAATCTGCTTCTTTTGTTTCTGCTTTCAAGACAAGAAAGATCCTGCGGTGTAGTGGAGGCTGGCCTCAACTCACAGCAGTCCCCCTAAGACTCCCGAGTGAGGGATTTTAGGCATTAACACTGCTCCTTGTTTTTGATCTGCAGTAAGGAAAAAAAATCAACAAAACCCCTTTATGTCCTCTCCCACCTGTGCACACTGCTGAAAACAGCTCTCCGTGGCTACAGGACAGGAGTACAGAAAGCCTAAACGAGGTCCCGCGTGTTCTCTCCTGACTCACACCCGTGGGAGTTAAGCTAAAAGACGCTGGCCACCACTGTGGTAGTAGAAAGCACAATTTTGAATTGTTTGCATTCTGAGGCAGACATGGTCAGATGTTTTTCCTTGCAAACATAAAAAAAAATGTTGACACTAAAATGTAAATGAATGAGGAACATCAAAATGATAACAATTTTTCATATTTGTCTTCTGGTTTTTTTCTACCAGATTTACAATTTGCATTCGTCTCACTGGCTTTTGTTGTTGTTTATTTGTTTTTTTTACGTGCCTTATTTCTTACATAACTATTTATTGTACTTCAAAAACTAGTTTAAAACAGGAAAGGGGTATTAAATACATTTTAGTGTTATATTTATTGGAAAAATATTCTATTATGTTCAAAATGTGTTTTTTGTTGTTTGTATTTACAAAGTTGTCTTGGGAAGCTTGTTTTGTTTAGCTTTTCATTTTCAAGGAAAATCAGCAAATAATTAGATAACTAATTTTAGGTATGAAATACAGGAATGTCAAGCTTTGTCTCATTGGACCAATTTGAGAACATTTTCCAGAACTGTATATGACATATGTCTTAACGTATGTGAAGATAATCTACATTTTAACGTGGAGTCAGTCTTTAATTTGGACTATGTAGAACAAGCAATCTAAAGTCATTTCCTAACAAATCATGGTAAATAATAAAATGACTTACTCTACCTTGTGGATTCCAGTAAAGATGGTAACAAATTTAAACATCACTTGATAACGTGAAAACGGGCTTTTCAATATTGCACATTATCATTCCATCATATAGACAACTAAAATAAAAAATAATAATAATGGTTAAAGTCCTTAACAAGCAGTGAAAAAAAAAATGAGTCGTAAAACTCTCCCCTTAAAAGAAGAGCTCCATTTTAGACTGTGGAAGAAAGGAAACTGTCAAACTCACTTCAGTGTGTTCTCACCCAGCTTTTAAGACATGAAGCCTCTGAGCTCAGAAATTAAGTGTGATTGAAAGAGAAAAATCCTTTGTGACTTTATGAGTTGGTCAAACTATACAGAGAAGGGGGAGAAAATAAAGGCAGTCCCTGCCCTGGAGATTCTAGAGTCACATTGTTTAACAAGGATCAGAAAAGAGGAGGTGGGGAAGAACGGGAAAGCTGGAAAGAAAAGGGGAAGCCAGCACGTTTGTGTTTGGTAATTATTTTCCCAGTAGGGGGAGGAATGGAGCTTGAAGGGGACACTGGTTTCGTTTTGGGTGGTAAACATTATCTTGTGCAATTTCACACACAAGGTGTGCCATTGCCTACTAAATTAAAGCATGTGGGTGTCTGAGCCATTGCCTTGGAGGTAAAAATGCCCAAACACCATGCTGAGATTTGTCTCCTCTTTTACCTTCTCACAAACTAGCAAGAGAAAATAAACAGTCTCAGACTTGATGCTCAGCTCCTTCCCTTAATTTCAAGACAAACAGCCTGAACCTACAGCTGTGTGTGACTCAGACCCACAAAGGAGAAACTTCAAAGGCGCTTCTCTGTTCTCTTTTCAACTCTATAGAAGCAAATTGATGAGCCTGCTCTCCCATTATCCAAAGCCTTCCGCCCTCTGCAGGCCTGACATGACCTTTGTGCACTAGAAGAGGCTGAGGATCCCACAAAAGGGAGCGGGGGTTGGGGAGGGCTCACTCTGGAGCAGCAGTTATAGATCTCATAGAAAACAATCACAAAAATCACAGGGCAAAAACATCCATGCAAATTAAACTGGACTCCATGCAACTACCACTGAGTCACCTTTATATTCCTGGTTTTTAAATCATGTCCTTTAGTATCTGTTGAATATGTATGTATGTATGCATATGTGTGTATGAATATGTATGCAAAAGCATATAAACATATACATGTTAATGAAGTATTGGAGAGAAAATTAATTGCCAACACAGATTCTAAGATACTCGAGTTGTGTGACATTGCACAGTTCCGTGGGAAACAGTCTAGAAATGAAAATTTAGTCAAAGATGATCTAACCTCAGAGTGATCCATTAATGAGTGTTTTCCAAGAAAACTATGGTTAAAATGCAATCGTTTTTTCCCTTAATTTTACTTTTACCATCTTGTTAGCATAATGAGGATATGGAAATTTTAGCCAAATTATATGCTTTTCAAATTTACTAGGTTACTATTAAATTAGCATGGTGACCATGAAAGAATTTAAGATATTATGTGCAAGACTTGCTGTGGGAACAGGTAGGTTTACAGCAGCAAACACAAACTATGTAAATTTTATCTTTTCTTTTTCCATCGTCATGACAGTGGTCCCCGTGCAGGAGGCAGCTGCTCGGCTCCACGACTCTGACTTCAGTGCCGGCCTGTCTTGAGGATGGATGGCGTTCAGGTTTCTAGGACCAAGACAATAGCCTCAGCAAGCCATCCTGCTCAACAGTGCTTGTTTCCGGCTCTATGGTGAGGCTGCTTGGTAATGGGGCTTCTAGGAAGTTCAAGAAATTACAATTTAAAGAAAAGGAAGACAGAGGGCATCTTTCCTGGGGTCTGGAAGCTAGTTACTTCTCACAAACATTATCTTTTTAGCATAACATTTCAAACACAGACAGAAAGCAGCAGGTGATCATGCATATATAAAGGCAAAGATGTAACTATGGGGTCTAGCCGCCGGGTGCCACAGCTGAACAGGGATGCCTTTGCACTGGACGTGAATGCAGATTATCTTCTGATTGTACGACCCCTGTCTTTCCTCCTGTCCATGGGCTTCCTATTATCTGCTGGCCTACTGTGTCACTCTCTGTATCACCCATAGTGCTTTGTTTAGAAGGACCATCCACAAAATGGGCAGTCCATTACCCAACACTTTCAGAATTAAGTGTGTTTCCTTCTGCAAATATGGGGGTTTTATCAGGTTGAGGGGAGAAAGGAAACACGAGGGAAAGGAGAAACAATCCTATTTGGATCATTTGTGTTCTTTAGATAACAGCAGCTCTTGTTCAATACCACTGAAGTATATTTTCCACCTCTATCCTTTCAAGTTCTGGAAACTACAATCAATATGCTTACAGAAAACTGGAGCATAAACAGCCAAACAGTACAGAACCTGTCATTTTGTTCCTGCGTTCAGGGGGAAAGTATGAGGTGACCTATCGTGCCCCATATGGGGGTATTTGATTCTTCTAAAATCTATTAAATTAATCACAATAAAATTATTTATAATATTAATCTCTACTTATTGAAAACAATACTAGTAAAGTATAATAAGATATGAAGAGGCAAAAATGAGTTGCTAGCATCTTCTTCTGGATAGCTGTGTAGACTCTGCAGACCCTCGGCCACTTTCACTGCTGTGACTTAAGACATTCCATCTATCCAGTCCATCCTCTGCTAATGATTGTCTACTAACTATAGGTGTTTCCGATGCTTAATATTATTACCTATGAAGATAACCTTTCAGGCAGCCAAATTCAGAAACCGGTATATAAAATACAATGAACAAAATGGCAAGTAGCTGCTTTCTAAAACTGAAACATTTGTACAGGAAGACATTAGAAAGCAAATAAGAGCTGTTTTGCTAAGAAGTTCTAAAATTGAAAAAGAGATTAAAATATGGAAATGTCCATGGACCTTCGTGCATATAAAACAAAGTTTACTGACATTACCTTTAAATTAAATATGTATTCGTTTTCTAACACTAGGCCAATAGTTCAGTATCAGTTTTTAAAAAGTAGATCTCAATGACCAGGGTGGAATTCAGCGTCAATACTGTCAAATGCATTTTTCAATTTTATATTGATTGCTAATACCACTTCCATTCATCATATTAGCTTAAAGGTTTTCCAACTGTGGTCTAGGGCCTCTGAGAGTCCCGAAAGACTTTCAGGGGTCTGTAAGGTCTGGACTCTTCCATAACAATACAAGGATATTGCCTTCCTTTTGAGATTCATTTTCTCGTGAGTGTAGGGTGCAAAGCTCCAGAGGCTGTGTGGCAGGTGATATCGCAACCGATTAAGGGCAGAAGCATAAAGTAGAATCCAGCTGACACTTCTAAATTACATACAAATAAAATTGCAAACATGTTAAAGGGGGTCACTCGTCCCATTATTTTTGTTGGAAAACAAATATTATTTCTGTTAGTGCAATAACTTCACCTCTGCTATGTAAACATTTTTATAGCACTTTTTTTCCATCCCAGCTCCAATTTTTAATGTGATAGATGCTCAGAGGTCGTAACACGTTTTGGGGAAAGAAACTCCTTCCGGCCGTCAGTAATTTTGTGAGTGATGGAGAATTACTGCCCTAGTGTTAAAAATAAATGGAGCCGTTAACGTGGGTGACAGTCTGTCCTCTCCTTTGCACCTGCGGTGGCGATCCATTGTTATATAGGCAGCACTTCACCGGGTGAACAGCGGAAAACAGCCAAGGCTGCAGGGGCCTCATATTACAGTACCTCCTTCACTGGCAATTTCATTAAGTCACATCGGTTTTCCTCTGATCAAAATTGGTTAATAGTTTGACAAACTGTTAGGAAGACAATGCAGTGAGCACTGCTGAAGGTCATGAATGATTCAGCCTAAAGTGACATTAGGTGGGATCCAGGCAGAACATGCATCTTTAATTATTTAATGAATTCTCCATCCTACCCCTGGGATGGCAGGGTGTCCTTAGGATAAAGTCCCTTTGGCTGTGCTTAACATCATTCCACACAGTAAATTAAGTTCAGTGCTGTTCCCACAACGGGCACAAGAAATGAAAGGCTCCTTTCCTCTTTCCTGCACAATTCTGAGTCATTATTTGTCCCACACAGGCCCTGATATTTTCATGTGAATGAAAACCCGACACATGCAAATAGAGATTTCTCCATGGGTATACCATTTCAGCCAACTTCTCTTGTGATCAGAAATACTAAATAGTGGATTTTCCCCAGCCTTGAGTGTAAGTTTCTCTTTTTCCACTGCTGATTGATAGGTACTCACCCTCTGACTTCCTCATTAGTCCCAAGTGTTGTCTTGATCTCCTAAGAGAAGCCTGTAGAAGAAATAACCAAAAGCAAAAAATATTTCCGGTATTTGGCTGGTCAACAGTTGTGCTATTCTGTCTACTGTGGTTCTGCAGGGAAAGAAATCTCCTATGTGCTGGGCACCACCAGCTTTAGAGTGTCAGCCTGCATCACATCAGTCAATTAAGTGAATAATCCAAAGGCAACATTCCCCTGTTGCAGCATCTATTTGCATTCTTCTACATAAAGTTTGACCAGCAATGTTTGTTGAAGATGTTGTCTTTTTTCCATTGTGTATTTCTGGCTTCTTTATCAAAAATCAGGTGTACAGGGGTGTGTGAATTTATGTCTAGGTCTCCAATTCAATTCCATTGATCAATGTGTCCCTTTTTATGTCAAGACCATGCATTTTTATTACTATAGCTCTATAATATAACTTGAAATCAGGGATGGTGATACCTCCAGCAGTTCTTTTATTGTTCGGGTTGTTTTAGCTATCCTGAGCTTTTTGTTTTTCCATATAAAGTTGAGAATTGTCCTTTCAAGCAAGGTCTGTGAAGAATTGTGTTAAAATTTTGATGGGAATTGCACTGAAGCCAGGGATTACTTTTGATATCGATGGCCATTTTTACTATGTTAATCTTACCAATCCATGACCATAGGCGATATTTCCATTTTCTGATATCTTCTTCAGTTTCTTTCTTCAAAAACTTAAAGTTCTTGTCATACAAGTCTTTCTCTTGCTTGGTTAGAGTTACCTCAAGATATTTTATATTCTTTGAGACTATTGTGAGGGGTGTTGTTTTCCCTAAGTTCTTTTTCAGTTCACTTGCTAGACTACTTATTTTTGTGAGTTAATCTTGTATCCAGCTACTTTGTTGAAAGTGTTCATCAAGTATAGGAGTTTCCCAGTGGAATTTTTAGGGTCACATGTATACTATCATATCATCTACAAATATACTTTGACTTCTTCCTGTCCAATTTGTATCCCCTCAATCTCCTTCAGTTGTCTTATTGCTCTTACTAAGACTTCAAGTACAACATTGAATAGATATGGAGAGAGTAGATATTATCTTGTTTCTGATTTTAGTGGAATTGCTTTGATTCCTCTCAATTTAAATTGATATTGGCTATGGGCTTCAGTAAACTGACTTTATTATGTTTAGGTATGTCCCTGTATCCCTAATCTCTCCAGAAATTTTATCTTGAAGGGGTGTTGGATTGTGTCAGAGGCCTTTTCTGCATCTAATGAGATGATCATGTGTTCTTTTTTTTCCTTCAACTTTTTTATATTGTGGATTACATTGACTGATTTTGGTATGTTGAACCATCCCTGTATCCCTGGGATGAAGCCTATTTGATCATGGTGAATGATCTTTTTTATGTATTCTTGGATTCTGTTTGCCATTATTTTATTGAGTATTTTTGCATCTATGTTCAAGAGAGAAATTGGTCTATAATTCTATTACTTTGTTGAATCTTTGTGTGGTTTGGGTATCAGGGTGATTATGACCTCATAAACTGAATTTGGCAACATTCCTTCTATTTCTGTTTTGTGGAATAATTAAAAGACTATTGGTGTTAGCTCTTCTTTGAAAGTCTGGTAGAATTCTGCACTGAAACTGCCTGGTCCCAGGCTTCTTTAGGTTGGGAGACTTTTAATGACTGCTTCTATTTCTGCTTCTATTTTCTTAGGAGTTAAAAGTTTATTTAAATTCTTTATTTGATCCTGATTAACCTGGCAAGTGGTATTTATCAAGAAAACTGTCCATTTCTTTTAGATTTTCCAATTTTGTGAAGTACAGGTTTGTAAAGTATGTCCTTATGTTTCCCTGGATTTCCTGGGTATCTGTTGCTGTGGGATGTTCTGTATGGCAAATGTGTTGCTCTGATTGGTTGGTAAATAAATCACTGATTGGCCCATGGCCAGGCAGGAAGTATAGGCAGGACAAGGAGGAGAATAAAGCTGGGAAGTGGAAGGCTGAGTCAGAGACACACTGCCAGCCACCACCATGACAAACAGCATGTGAAGATGCCAGTAAGCCACGAGCCATGTGGCAAGGTATAGATTAATGGAAATGGATTAATTTAAGCTGTAAGAACAGTTAGCAAGAAGCCTGCCACGGCCATACAGTTTGTAACCAATATTAAGTCTCTGTGTTTACTTGGTTGGGTCTGACGGCTGTGGGACTGGCAGGTGAGAGAGATTTGTCCTGACTGTAGGCCAGGCAGGAAAACTCTAGCTACAATCTGTTGTCATGTCCCTCTTTTCATTTCTGATTTTGTTAAACTGGATATTCTTTCTCAGCTTTTTAGTTAGGTTGGATAAGGCTTTGCCTATCTTGTTGATTTTCTCAAAGAACCAACTCTTTGTTTTATTAATTCTTTGTATTGTTCTAGTTCTTCCTATTTTATTGATTTCAGTCTCAATTTATTTCTTGCCGTCTACTCCCCTTGAGTG